GTTCAGATAAGAAAGAAGAAAAAGTTGTTCTCTGAGTTACATATGTAACTCAGGATCGCACAGTGGATGAAATAATACAGACCCACGCCACAACATTGGAGGATGTATTTGACATCAAATTGCAACAGAAGGAGAAAACTTGCCACAAATATGTTGGATTCCTAAACTTCACAAGACACCGTACAAGGCAAGATTTATTGCAGGTTCAAGTTCATGCACTACAACTAGGCTCTCTAAATTAATTACCTAGTGTCTTGAACTGGTCTGCACCCACTGCACCGCTTACTGCAAGACGATTCGAGTAAGGACAGGTGTTAACTACATGTGGATCATCAATAATTCGTTGGACGTTATCCTCGCACTGGAGGAAAAACAGTTTTCCCTAAATCATGTGAGTACTTGGGACTTTTCGATTCTTTTTACTAGCCTTTCACACGCCCAACTTAAAAAGCAACTCGATGATCTTTGGGAAAGAATTTTTAATACTAAAGGAAAGAGCTTCATCGCTACCAATAATTTTCGCACCTTCTGGACGAATGATAGGACATCAGCGAGGTACACATACTTCTCCTGTAGAGAGCTTTGTCCTGCTATTCACTATCTTATCGACAACATCTACGTTCGTTTTGGAAGCTCTGTTTTCCGGCAGGTTATTGGTATACCAATGGGCACCAACAGTGCACCTTTATTGGCTGATCTCTTCCTTTATATCTTCGAGTACGATTTCATGGTCAAAACAGTGAAACAGGATATTACAAAAGCCATCCAGTTCAGCAACACCTTTCGGTACATGGACAATTTATTCAGTGTTAACAAAGTGGACTTTGGAAATTACAACAGCGCAATTTACCCGTCGGAATTGGAACTTAAAGACACTTCCACATCATCTAGTGTGTTATCTTGACACTAATATCAAGGCTGGTGACAACACACCTTTCCATATCAGCATCTACAATAAGAGAGAGGACTTTGCATTTCGAATTGTCAACTTTCCTCATATGGGCAGCAGCATTCCCGCCAATCCAGCTTACGGTGTTTTTATATCTCAGCTGGTGAGATATGCTAGAATTTGCACATCCAAAGTTTACTTCATCAATAGACTCCGTGGACTTTCAATACGTCTCAGACAGCAAGGCTTTGATACCAATCTACTTGAGAAATCATTTAATAAATTCTTCAGTCGCCGTGGTCTTATCGTCGAGAAGTATGGTGCAGCCCTGCGTGGGATAAGATTAGCAATCCAGGCTGAAATTGCACCATCGCATCCTTACATCTCTTATTTATTGCTTAGTGTCGTATTTCAGTTGTATCTTGGTAGGTGTGCGCGTACAATTTTATTTTGAGCACAAGCACTATTTGTTTATTTATTTAATTGACGTTTACATTTAGTTCATTGATTAAAGTCCTAATTTTACTTTGCGTTATTTTGCTCACTTATAGGTGTTGTCCGTGACTGTGCTCACATGGTGGGTGGCATAGTAGAGCCATAGCAGTGCCATAGTAGAGCTCGATCCGTAGAGGCCAGACTCTATAAACACATCCTCCAAGCCACTCTCCTGGAACATCTTTCCGATCGAGGCCAAATAATTGAGTGCAATGTGAAACCCCCCTAAGTGAATCACCAGGTTTTGGAACTCTTCTGGATAACGCCAGTGGATTTCCTTTGCCTTGGAATAAATTGCAGATCAAATGTGATTACTGCAGTGTTCTGCTGGAGATGTTTGGACATTTCTTGCACTGTTTTAAGTACCGTATAGATGGTACTGTACTCTGTTGGTGATCCAGCAATCATCGGGCAGTACCCAATGACGGTGCGAGGCAACGTGATGGAAGACATTTCGGCATTGAATGCGCTCCATCCGGAAACTGACTGCTCTCCATAGGTATCATCGGCCTTCAATACGTTTTTTCTGTTCAGCCTGAGCAGAAACCATGCCAGTTCTCTTACATTCTGAGTTGTTGTGCAATCGTCTCTACATTCAAAGTTCTCTTCTGCCTTTCCTACGAATGAGGTCAACGCAGGACGCTTACCATGCACACTGCACTCGTGCATGAGTTGACCCTGAACTCGCTGCTCTAAAGATCTTCTTCTAGAGGAGTGGTCGGCCTGGATCCTCGGTGGGAGTTGGGGTCCAAAAGGCTGACGCTGATAAACTACTAGCGTTGTGGCATGTGTGGTTTGCTTGCCATCTAGATTTTCCTCGTTGAAGTCATTATTGTCGGCAGCAAATTGTACAGATGGGCCGGCGGTAATGTTTGATGGGATGGCTACTTAAGAGAGAGTCTCCCTAAAACCGGTCCACTGCGTTTCGCCTCGGAAAATCAATTTCCTTTAAACTTTGCCCATGAATATATATTGGTCCAAAAGTAATTGAAACGGCATTAGTTTTTGGAAATATTTCAAAATAAGATTTTTCGGGACGAAAATCACTTCAGCGCCCGGCGGCCAATTTTTTGCAGTGGAGAAGAGTAAAAATTGAGCATATTGCCGAGTTTACCACTTCAAAGTTTTTCACCTTCAATGATCTTTTTCACTTCCCAGGTTTAAATTGGTCCTTAAAAGATGTAAAGCACACAATTTTGAACCTTCAAAAGCAACTCATATTTAATAAATATTTTTCGATTTACACCCACTTTGCCGTAGGTTGGAAAGGGCTTAAAAATGCATACTTTTATCCTGGCACTGAGCAAAATCCCCACTTCTTCTTAACGAAATATCAATTTAGACCAATGAAATGAATGTTCAAAAACAGGGAAACATAAAAACATATTGTGATTTCAGCGATTTATGAGCACAGCCGATAGACGAAATATGCCTATTTTCTGTTATGACTGTTTACAATACACGAAAGGCGACCTTATTGCAAAGCCTCACTAACACAATAATTCATTACATGTATCAAGTTTTTGCGACTTTTAACACAATGAAACAGCATAGTTATGAAAAGAAAACCTTCAAGCCGTTGATATTTCGGCGCTCCATCCAATCAAGTTTAAAATGTTCGAAAGGTCACATTTTCGTTAGTTAAATAATTTATGCAATATTCCTTTCCCTTGTTAATCGGTCGATGTGACCGCATTGTTATTCTGGAAATTCAGCAAAGGGAAAAGATTAATTTAGTTCATAGAAGTAACCAGGGTGGATAGAATAGTCCATTAACTTAGAAACGGCAATTGCATTGGAAGAGAGGATCATAGATCCAAATCCGTTTTCAGTTGTTTACACATGAACGCAGACATGAACTGATACCAACATGTATGACGCTGGTCACGCAATCTTATTGGAGAATACGGAACTGGTTCGCTGCGAAAATATATATACCCGTCATAATAAAATTATCTTATTCATACAGTACTTTTCTTTTATTTTCACTGACAGGCTACAAAATCAAGCATATCATGCAAATGTGTTTACAGTAAGAGAAACTCATTCCACACTGAGTCTTCCACGGCGGGCAGTCTCCTGTCCATTCCGATCATTTACAAACAATCAGTTGCCGTTATACATTTTTAATTTGTTTGTTTTGTTTTTTTTCTTTTGACAGTTCTGGTTGCCTGGTATTAGATACGCGTGTACCTGAGTGCGATCATACTCCCCTTTTCGTCTCAGGGAGGGGTTAGGGGTGGGGTGAGCTTGTTGAAACACTGTATCTTTGAAATTTGATTTCTCTGCACGACTGGTGGTATATCTAGCTGGACAAAAGCTCTATTTTTTGGTTCGTTTTTGACTTAAAAACACCTTCTACACTAATCACTGATAATGTTTAGCGTCACACGTCCTAATGTACATGTGTAGCTGATGATTTTCCTGGACAGCAGCGAATTCACAACGAGCCCGCAGAAGGGAAATGGGGAGAGGTAGGGTGCAAGGGGCTCTTGGAAGGGGTATAGTCAGTACCCATCCTCTCGTGGTTTGACCGACAATGCGATATTTCTTACCGGCAGTACTTGAACGAATCCGTTGACTAATCGGGGTGCGTTTCTCTACTAAATCCGGAGTATTAATCTGAAAAAAGGACATTTCATTTCTCTGGTAAAATACAAAAATGGATTATTGATCCGAATAATCCACAATGGCCTGGAGGATTCCTTGGATCATAACCAAATCCGGATACTTTGGATACATGATCAGAAGCGCTTCTTTACGTCTATAGATCCGAAATGAGTGAACATTGCCCGGCTGGCAGCGGTGACTCGAAACATTTTCAATACATACATCAGTTGTTTGACTACACCGCTCATCTTTACGGCCATTTTATACCCGAGGCGTGGATTAAGCGATCGGCTTGGTCCGTTTTATCAAGATGGTAAAATTGTAATACAAACAGGACCCGCATTGCTCTAGTTCACAAGGACAAAATTGCTACACAACGTCGCTGGCACGTCTTGTAAGCCAGAATGTACTTTTCCAGCACATATCATTTGGCCCGTCTCAAGAGATAATGAGCTCATTCTCTCTTGCCCGTCTAATATAAATTAAGCAGTACCTTAAGCTAATCGCCCAGAATACAATGAAAGATCAGCAAACTTGCAACACTGTCAGCAGCCAGTCTGGGATAACGTTGATATTGTGGGTCCTTTATATGGACATGAATGAAAATAATCCTTTTTAGTAAACATCGTTTCTTTTCTTAACGAAAAATCCGGTCCTAATGATCCGGATTTTTTATCTTATCATAGAACGGATTTTAGTAAAGAAACGCACCATAAGGTCCAGTTTACACGAATCTGGGCATTTTTGCAACCGCATTTTGTTTACTCGTATTTATGTGGACCAGGTCTTAAACCACTCTGGAGAACGGTTGCAAAGAGATGCAGTTTCACTGGTGGTTTCGTGTAGATGAAAGGCCGATTCGATTCGAGTAAAAATATGCAGTTTAAGAAAATATGTGGTTTCGTGTGGAAGTCGGGTTTAAGCGAGCGATTCATACTGGTTTTAGTTACGCAGTCTGTCTTCATTTACGCTATATTGAAAGCGTTTCATACTCCCAATAACAGTC